TTTTTTTGGTTATACGGGTGCTGATGAAGATGCAGCACCAACCTCCATTATACTAGTGCTGTCAGAATATTTATGCTGTTAAAACACAATTGATATAATCTCTAGATTTCTACTACGTATTTATGTTGCTCCAGTGAAGTATAAGTTCTAATTAAAAATCTCATTTTATAAGAAATTAGAAGACTGTCCTGGATTCTATTTCTGATTTTTGGTTAATTTTATTGAAGAAAAATAATGGTACTGTTTGAATGACCTAGTAATACATCTAGTGATAAAACCTCATTTTCCGCTATATTATCTGAATGTTGTGTTCTGTTTTGTAGGTTACACTGGAGAGCTGTGCCAGTCAGAGATTGATCATTGCATCCAGCAGCCATGCCAAAATGGAGGTACCTGCTCGTCCAACATCAATGGATTCAGTTGTCAGTGCCCAGAAGGTAAACAGCAAAGACCTATCTAGTACCCCATACAAATGGGTGTTTTGCAGGCTGTACTTAGTCTAAATTTTCAGTTATATTTATGTATATATTTAAATATTTTTAAATTGTGCCTTAGGCCATAACTATAAGCAGAAAAAAAACCCAGGTGAGAAATCTTTGTATAATCAGCAGTAGTATATAAAGTATGGTAGGAGTTTAGTGTTTCAGTGTATATATGGTGTAGAAATGTTCCCTCATTTTGTGGCACCTCTGCAGTAAAAATCAGGCTCCAGCATGGTGAGAAAGGTGAATCTGAGGAGATTTAGGGTGTGGTCTGATTTTTGTGTTGTCCAGTAAATGTGTGAGAAAAGTTGTCTCCCTTGTAACATCTGCATATCGGTCAGTTGGCTAAAATGTGTGTAAGAGCAGTAATTCAAAACTAAAGAAATTATTTCAGTTCCCCAAAGCTTTGATTCATTCTCCTTTCTGTTTGGACTTACTCTTCTCTCTACATGAAAGCCTTTCAGTGATTCTCACTGGTAAACACCATAAAAGTAACTGCGTGAAATGAGGACACCACAATGCTGAAGTGCATGCTTTCGTATCGACCTGCTGACTGGAATGGCAGATGCCTAAATTGCTCATAAAAAAAATTATCAGGATCGAAAGCTCTCAATTATGAAGTCTCCATTAGTTATTTATAATTAAGATTAGAACCTTGAACTAATTATATTTGTGTTCTTACTTGATCTGTGGATGATGTTTTTATTCTGCCAGCACCTCATGCTTGCTCTAACGGTAGACGTCTTTGCTAACTGCTCCAGTAATATATACTTGCTTAATAATGAAGATTATTTGTAATTTCTTTAGACTGATTCCTTGCTTTTCTAGAGTGTTATGCTTTAACGAGTGACCCACTTCACAGTGGTGTTAAAAGACAGACACTGACATTTTGACAGCAGCACAAATCTTTCATTTGGAAGAATTTTGAAAATTGTTTGTCTTATAACTAGTTGCAAAATTCAGTGAGAAAATTATCAGATGTTAGACTTGGTCAATAACTTAGTTACATTTTTCTTAGGAAATCTATTCAAGGATCTTTAAGGATGCTTTGCAAAAAATGATCTTTCCAATAATAAATGCTTGGGAAAATAGCTACTGGGATTTTTGGTTGTTTTAGAACTGCCATATTTGTTTCTGTGTGTGGCATACCTTAACTGCTTGCTCCTGATGACCTGTTAATGAGTATGTTGACCGTCTCTCAACTTCTCTGCTGCTGCCATTTGAGACGCTGGCCATGGGACAGGGTTACTGGTGGTTTGAGGTCCCAAGGTGGCCACAGCACCCATCCTCTGCTGTGGGTGTGCTGTGGTGCTGTGGCTGGGATATGGTGCTTGTAGCATAGCCCCTCAGTGCCCTGCTCAAAGGCGTTCATGCCTGGGTTGCTGTGTGGGGTTGTGGTTGCTCTCGTGCCAGCGGCAATTAGCCCGTGAGCAGGAGCGGGGCAGGCTGCCGGCTGCGCCTGGCAGCGCTGCTCTTGCAAGTGCACCAGCTGGCTGCAGCAAGGGCCCCGCGCCATTCCCCCGTGCTGTGTGGGAGACCTGGAGCACAGGAGGGGGAAATCTTCCCTTCATGTCCCCCCAGAGCTGTTCTCCCCAAAGAGAGTGATGGAGAGGTGATCGGATGTGCCACTGCTTGCTGTGTAGCATTCTTACTGACAGCAGCTTTTCTGCTGCGGGAGAACCATGTTACGTGCGCTTCTCTTTTCCCGGTTTTACTCATGTTTGTCTGTCTCTGTGTTACGGCACTCGGTCCTACAGTCTTGTTGCCTCCTTTGTTTCTTGAATATTTGTTTTCTGCTCCTTTCTTTGCCACAGATCCGTATTTCTGTTTAGTAAGTTTGAGCTGTTCCTGTTGTGTGCTCTGCTTTAAGAAGACTGACTTTGTCACCATCATTCTACTATCTGAGTATTTAGGCTGTACGCTTTGCTCTTTTTCCTTCTGGGCACATTGGTACCATTTTCTCAGTATTCTGGTATTTTTGTTTGTTGGCACTTCTGTTCTTATTATGTGTTACAAACCTGTGCTCCTTTTCTGCTCAGAGTCTTGAGGCTTTCTACGGTTTCTGGATTTCCCTTAAACGTACAATGTGCTTTTTGACCCTTCCAGAGGAAAGAAAAAAATTTAAAAGAAAAAAATTACTTAGCAACATGAAGAAATACCTCTCTGCTTATAGATTGTTGATAGGTAAACATGCTTTTTGAGTAACCTGTCTGAAACTTTCTGTGCAGAGTCACCAGTTCCAGTCTCCCAGTACAATCTATGTTTCCAAGAGCAGCTGTGTTATAGAGCAAGGATAGAATTGGGGGAAGAGCTGTTTACCGTTGTTTCAAAGAGCAAATGCTTCCCATGAAGCTATGTAGCTGTGCTTCCTACTCGTGTCCTCGCCATAAAGAGGGGAGAGACTTGGTGCAGAAGTGATTCAGTCTGTCTGCAAGGGCCAGTGCTATTGCTCTGGAGTAGCCTAATGGGTCGATTAGGTAACAAGGTGTGGCTTTTCCGTCTCGTTCTGGAAGATCTACTAATGCCAACAAGCTCAGGAACTAAGATATCTTGTGGAGGAAAAGAAAGGGTTGTTTAACAGTATATATTGTCTGAATTTACTAATGACTGCCTTTCCCATGATTCTTCTTTATTCTTTTGAGGTATTATCCTCTCATAAAGGCATATTTTGAGAGCTTTTGCTTGGGTTTTGAAGAGATTTTGTTATTTTTGTAAATAAAACAAAGCATAGTTAATTGGAAATTGCAGATGCAGTAACGTTCAGATTTGCTATTTTTAGCATGTCCTCAAATTTTCCATTGGAAAAAACCTTACCAAAACCCCATGATAGGTTTCTAATTTAAGTGAGGTCTCTAGCTCTGCTGCTATTCTCCTGCTGTGCTTAATAGTAATTGCTTGCTGAGAAGGGGCCTGCCTTTCTGTAGTGCTAATGCAGCACAGTGGGGGAAAGGTAGCCAAAGAGCTTATATATGTGTGAAAACTAAAAGACTGGAGATATAATGTGCTTAGGCGGAAAAGGGTAAGAGAAGATGGAAAGTATCACAAAGGGAAAAGAAAAAAGACGGCAGAAAAGGGAATGAGAAACAACTGGAAACAATGAGGAATGATCTCGAGATTGTGCATATCTTTAAAAAGGAGATCTGTAGTTCATGAAAGAAGCATGTGATAACTTATAGAAGGTGAGATCTGAGGCACTGAAAAAGCAGCCTAGATCAGATATGAACATTTTATGATTATTCCTTAGACAATTTTACTGTCTTAAGAGTCCTTTAGGAAAGAAAATCTCTTTGTGCTTGCAGATTCCACTTTCTGTGTGATGCATTGTAGATTTTAATGTCCAAAATGTCAGAAAATAAAGTGCTATATGAAGTTGTTGAGTCACCTCATATTAAAGAGAAAGTTGGATTTTATACTCAAATTTATAGTGCAGAAGCTTAAGTGATACTAAGGACTGAAGAATTTGTTCAAAATTTTGACTTTCAATTATTATTGTGAAGAGGATGTTTGGGATGTCATATTTACTTAAAATGGGGTAGGGATCTTTGATCATCTTTTCTAAAGTTTCGTGATATTAAACATACATTTAGCAAACGTTAAGTTCAAATGATCATGCAAATAAATTCTAGACATTCTAAAAAGCTACACATAGTAAACATCAGTCAACCTAAACATGGGTATTTGAAATTTATATTCAGAATGATTCCAAAATACCCATATTACTCTTAAATATCTCCCCTGATTTTCTCCCACTTATTGAAACGTATAACATACTACTGTATTTACAGTAATGTTAATTCATTTTATTTGAGTTGGTTGGGGTGCTACTCATCAATTTATGAATTTGGTTACTTCATTTTGTTTAAGTCACTGAGAAGTTACGTAAAGTCCCAAAGCACTCATTGCACACCAGTGCAATGCAATATACAAATAATAATTAGAAACATTAAAAAAGCTGGTTGGAATAAGCAAATGTGATTACAATAAATGCTTCAGTGATGGAGAAACTAATTATCCTTGCCTATGTAATTATTAAATTCATTGAAATATTTTTTAAAAGTTTTTTTTAAAAAGTGCATGGAAATTTCTGATTGTGTGGTGAGGAAATGCAAGTCTCACTAATCTGTTCCTTACACAGGCAAAAATTGTAAAGTCGATAGAACGAAAGACTTGGAACTTGGGTGCATACGTATATCCAATACAGTATTTCACATATTTTAAACATTTGGAGAGCCGTTGTTAATTTTTGTTTATAAGATAATATTAAAATAAATTAATAGTAGAATATGGTTTTGAACAAAGCCAGATAATAGTGAGCAAGGCACAGATCACAGTTGTTATAACAAAGAACAAAACTTCTGTTGCAAGATGTTTCTGAAGTTCTGTTACATGCAATTTAATGTCCTGATGATATGTACAGATGAACTGCATTCAGTGTTATAGGCAAATGTTAATCTTTGATAAAAATAGCAAGCTTTAGGCTGGCCAGCCGCATGAAGCCAGCTTGGATTCTTGGGATTTTGCTACTTGTTTGTGCCGAGGTCACCTGCTCTGACAGAATTGGCGGAAATCTTTTCATTCAAATTGATATATTTGTGAAAAATACTCATCAGCAATAATGGATTTCATAGCCATCCTATGGAAGGAGATAGAGAGAAAACAATGTTATGATTAGGCGTTTAACATAGAGATTACTTGAAATTCACAGTTCAGGACTGGTTTTATTTTGCCATTGACAATTTTATTTGCCTAGCTTCAGGTTAACTACAGCTAGGCAACACACTGAGCAAAAGTGCCCCGAAATACCTGCAGGTATTTCTGGAAATACTGGAAAGCAGCAAATTTATGAATGCTCTTATTGTGGTTTAAAAAAGAAAGAGTTTGACAGCTATAGAAGATGTTAAGTTGTGATTCAGATGTGTTGATTTGCAATAGCAGCTAGAAAATGCATGTTGTCACCATGAATTTTAATTGACTTGGGAGAACAGAAGTTATTTGCCTAGGTTAAGTAAGAATAGTTTAAGTTTCAAGGTCTTCACTTTTTCTGGGCTTCAGTGTTCATGTAAAAGCCTTTTTCTATATTATATCTTTGCAGATGTGATTGTAACTTCTTTAGGTTTATGTACAATAAACCTTTTTATTGTCTTGATTCCAGGAAATTAGGTCACACAGCTGTTGCATGTGGAAGATTTCCCAAGGTTACTGGTGATTAGAGAATGCAGAATTCTTAATATTACTATAAGAGAGTTTAATTTACCTGAAGAACATTTTGTTGTTAATTAAAAATTTTTATGGCTGTTTAGTTTCTGGTACTTTCTGTAAATGTAGTGTTTTTACCTGGCATCTTCCCAAATTGCTTTTATTTTTAATAGACTTCTCCTTAATGCTTTAATTGGTTTAGCCTCTGTTCATCTTTATCTATAAAGACTTAGCCAGGGTGAATTTCAGCCAAAATCTTATAACTGTGTTTTAATGATTTCTTGTTTCCTTAGGATGAGTATCTTTTTTCCCTTTACAGAATACTGGTGAAATTCCATCTGATATCTTTTATTTCCTCACAAAACAATTTTTCATAGGGAAAATAATAAATTGCCTGTATTTCTTTTAATATTTATTCCTGTATTTCAAATCTGAAATTTTATAATCCTGAGTCCTAGCAATTCACAGGCTTAATTTTTCGCATTTGTGTAATTCTTGGAATTAGGTCTAATATAACATTCAGGCAAGTTGGTTGTTCCACAGAATGCATAAAAAGCAGCTGTACAGTATCTTCAGATAATGTTTAACTTCCTTGATTTGTACATGGCTCTTTTGCTTTCAATAGCCAAGTAATTAAAATCCCACCATGATGAGAAATCTGGCTTTTGTCCAGAGCTTGTCTGTCTCAGAAAAGATTTTTCTGATCTAGTTTCTATTATTGCCTGGAGGACTGTAGCAATATATGAAGAATATCACCTGACTTAATGCTTTTATTCTTCTTGACAGCTAGCCAAATGGTCTGATCTGTGTAAGCACAAATATTGTAATGTGTTTATTGACAGTAAAATCTCTTCTAATATTATCTTTCCCCTTTACCTTCTGTGTTATTCCTTTGGTAGATTTTGCATTCAGAGCTTTCAAGTCACCAGTAGTCTTTAAATTTCAGTCATGTCTCGTTACACAGATAATGACCTAGATGCCGGGTTGGGTCCATGTTAGCTGTCTGAAGAACAGTTCAGGGAATATTTATCCACAGATAAATAATCCTGTTGTTTTTTTTTTCTCCAGCATTTGATTCAGTTTTCAATCAATACACCTCTCAGTTTGATTTAATTATTATTTGTTTTCAACAACTTTATTGATATGGACTTAAATGTACATTCAGAAATGCTAAAATAATAGATCTTCAATTCAGATGTGTAACCTCTGCTGCTTTGAGTATTTTCAGATACTTAACTCATACATAAGATTTAGACTTCCAGAGTCAGCTAAACACATTTCACAGTGCAGTAAAGATAGCACAAGGGCAACATGTTTCAGTGTATTTTAAACCTGCGTATGTTCTTGAAGTGCTTTGTCACTTGAAACATTAGCCATCTGCCAGTAAGCTTCTCTTTGTAGGGAAGATTATTGCAAAGGTTGTAGTGAAGCAGCGTTAGTGTCATTGTGTGACCTCAGATATCCTTGATCCTTTTTAATCCGGTTTCAGAGTTAGTGTAGAGATTTCACCAGACCCATTGGCTGATCTCCTCCTGGGAATAGTTAAAAGTCCTTGCAGATTCTTTTAAATCTGCCTGGGATTTTATGATGACGGTACAGGCTTTTTTAATTTGACAGCAAACCGTTGCTGGCATTAGATTCTTGATTTTTCAGGTGTCCGTTCTCTTCAGTTTCTGATGGTTATGCAGTTATCATCTATAGCAGGCACCTCTAATACAGGATTCCACAATATCAGTTTTTAAGCTCTCCCTCTTCAGCACTGGTGTGCAGGTGGTCCTGAGAAAGCCCATGGAGCAATCTGAGCCACAGGAGAGCAAAGTGGAGAGGGCAGAAGGCTCTTGCCTCTGTTCTTTGACTGTGCCCTGCCAGACTTGCTTTTCTTTCCTGGTCTGTTGCTGAGTTACTTATAAGTGTTAAAAGCTCAATCCGTAGGTGGTTTCTTACAATTTTTTTAATTCTTTTTTTTAAAAAAACACTGGATTATTTTTTCCTTGTTTTTCATTCCATAGGTCTGGTGTAAGACTTATGAACATATGAGGGAAACATGGCTTTTAAAGTCATTTGTCCAGGACCTAGTATTATGAGGATGCTACTAAAATCCTGCTGCCAGCAGTGCCCAAGAATATCCTAGTTTTGTCTGGAACACCAGAGTAGTTGTGAGCTTTCCATCTTTTTGTTAGGTACAATAATCTAAGTTTTGTTAATTCTCTGACTAGATCCCTGTGGTGTACACTGTGTGGGTTACCTTTGTTTAACATCCATTTCCCCCTCTTTCCAATGCTGTTCACTGAGTTTTTGTGGATCTATAAAACATGGAGTGTGTCTCCTTGACGAAGCCCTTAGGATATTTAAAATTAATTGTCAGTCTCTTCTTTTTTTGTGTATGTGTGTGTGCTAGGAACTTTAACATCTTTAGACTGATCATCGCAGCCCTCATTCGCTCTTCAAGTCTTGGAGCTCAGTACATTCCATCTTTCTGGCCCAGGTTTTCAACAAATCTAATCAATCAAGAACAAATGGTAGAATCTGAATTTTAGTAAACGTTTGGGGGTTTTTTGTTATGCTTTAAAATATAAATGAATCTGTTTCTTATGCACTTATTTTCAGAAATGCCAACTCCTGCCTTGCTACCCATGATTACAGTGCTAGAACTACAATTAAACAAAGTTAAACTCACCTGAATGGGACTCATGAATAATTAGAAAAGCGAGAAAATCAGAATGCTCTGAAAGTAACACATCTGTCAAAATTAACTGAAAACTATTTCCTGATGAATTGTACCTTGCTTGAAATGTGGAATGGCATTGCTTGTAACAAGAATATTTACTGAGTCAGTAAAAGTTAATGACATGCTGTAAAGTATGTATTGAATGTGGTATTTGGTCTTAATTTTGATATTCATCCTAATTTAGGATTATTATACAATATAGGGCTTCAGTTCTAATACATCAATTGCTTTTAGTCCAGCAGTGAGACTTTATATATACAAAAACTATAAAAGTAAGGCCAAAAATCTACTTCATTCCATTAGGTATAAGATTTCAATATTGAGTGTTAATCCAAAGTGTCACCTGTCGTTACCTGTTTTCATGCTCTGGGTCGTTGGCGGGCTGCTCTATAGCAGAGACGTATCCTCCATCTTGATCCTTCCTCTCACCACTGGACACATTTTGTGGTTTTCTGGGTTTTTTTGTACATTTGTTTTTCTCTCTTTCTGGTTAAATGATTTTCAAATCCTAGAATAGGTTTTTATGCATATACTTATTTTCTTTGGTGTCCGAAATGTTGCTACAATCTCCCGGGTAGCAGTGCCATCGTAGTCTGTTCTTTGTCTTTTAGACTGGCACACCTGCAGTGGTTCACCCTTTCTGTTGAAGTAGATTGGTAAAGCTGGCTGGGTGGGTCTTGAGTGGAGGCCGGCCTGATTTCTTCCTAATTTCTCACTCCCAGTGATTATTGTAATTTTAAGAGCTGTTCTACAATGTAAGATATTGCAAGGAATTTGAGCCCGAAAAGTGGTGGTCTGTATAAATGGACCAAATACTCATTAAAAAATATTAGCGTTGAATGGAAAGGACAGTTTGCTCTTTTATTTGGAGGGGTGCTAGAATTTGAGTACTCTTTTCTGACTTGCTTTTGTGTACAGTAACCACGCTTCACCTTGCTACGTGTATGATGTATGTGTATGTGATAAAACCTATAGATAGCATACTGCAATTTGTTCAAATGTTATTATTTTCTACATCTGATTAAAACAACTCCCTTGCAAGGATATATTTTTCCTTATGTCTAATTTTTACATGGTGTTTCTTCAATAAGTCATTGTGTCTCCTGCTAAAAAGAAGTATGCTCTTGTAAAAGGTAATCTTTTAAATTATTGAAGCTCAAGTAAACGCATGTGCTGCTTTAGAGGTTGTTATTCTTAACAAATGCATCAACAGAAATAAAAAAATGGTCAGTTTTGGCTTTTCTTTTTTTTCCAGGCTAGTCTGTTCCTGATCTTTACAAAATGTCTTCTGCTTTTCTAGCCAGATACACTTTGTGAAGTAGATAAGCACTGTCAGATTCAAGAAATATTTTTGCACTTTACTGCCTTAATCATATGATAGTATGATTGTACCTGAAACATATCCACCATGTTAATGGGTAAACTTAAAGTTTAATATATGTAGGAAGTATGTATTTTTGTAATTTTCATAGAATAAAAAAATAGGAGTATAGATATGTCAATGGCTTGCTTTTAACTTTCTTTAGTTATTAACATTGTATGCATACCAGAATGTTTACTTATCAAAATAATTTATTTCTTTTAGGGTTTTTAGGAGCATCTTGTGAAGAGAAAATAGACCCTTGTGCGTCATCTCCCTGCCAGAACAATGGAACCTGTTATGCAGATAGACTTGCCTTCTCCTGCAGTTGTAGTCCTGGATTTACAGGACCAACATGCGCTCAGCTGATTGACTTCTGCGCTCTGAATCCTTGTGCACATGGCATTTGTCGCAGTGTTGGAACCAGCTACAAATGCCTCTGTATCCCTGGTTTGTACCAGTTATATGTTTCATAAATCTTCTAGTATTTTTGTATGTAGGTTCCAATATACAGTTTAAAATTACTTCCTTTTTTTCTTTTCAGTATATAAAACACATTGAGCAGATGTTCTGTCTGTTTAGAATAATGATAAGAATCTACACATTACATTTGGAAAACCAAAATTGCAGAGTGAGCACTGAAAATACCCACTGAGATCCATATGGCTTGGTTGATATCTACAGCTGTATTATAAAACTGTAGCCTGCAGGATAAACCTTTTTAAGGTGAAGTATCAGTGTCATTGAAATTACAGAATTTGGTAGAGAAGAGAATGGAAGGTGTGACACTGATCATTTGGGAAGGATGGAAGCAAACGAGGTAGCTGAACAAAGTTAGAGAAGGAAAAAAAAATCGGTTACCCCGAAGGATTAAGTTCTGCCATCCATGTTGACATAAGTTATCTGTTTTGAGAAGTGCTAATGACACTGCTTAGGTGAGTATAGCTAGTAGACTCAGCCGGTAGCTGATAATAGCCTGAAAATGTAGTTATAGGTAATGTAACAGCGCATGGTGTCTGGGTTGCATGTTGCTTAGCTCTAAATTGTTTTGCTTCATTGTACCATTGTAACAGAATATTGGGGTGCTTATAGCTCCCTTTTAATTATCATTGCTAAAACATATAAAGGTGAAGTAGCAGTTAGAATGAATGATATCATGTGCCGCACATCCACTACTGCTTAAGCACTTACAGAATGAAAACCAATAATCTTCATTTTCATTTGAATAGTTTTGTCACTTGTTAAAAAAAGTCTGTTCCTGTGAAACTATAAACTTGAAAACTGCAGAAGTTAAGGGAAAAATAAATCCCCAGTGTACAGGGGATAAACTAAGGAGTGATATGGGTAGTTAGTAGTCCTACATATACATAACGCTGTGACATGCATGTTGTTCTCTGAAGTTTCTTTCAGAGGAATACCTTCTCTCTGCAGCTTTGCCTGGCCTTGTGGGAAACCAGTTGCAATTCTCCTGCTCTTTTTCCTTCCTTCTCACTTAGCAAGATGTGGAGGTATCCTACCAATTGCAAAGGTTTTGCCTGAAGTAGGCAAGTACTTCTATAGGTGGTGTCTGAACATTAGTACGTGCCACATCCAGATGTTTTCTTTTTAGCCTCTGCATAGAAAGAAGTCAGCTTCATTCTCTTCCAAAAAGAAGTTTCTCCTTTTCCTCCCAAGACAGAAGCCCACAATCTGTTCCTAGAACATTTCAGATTAGGATAGCGAGGCTTATGGCAAAAAGAAAGTAAAAGGACTGTTTATTTTGACTTTCATGCATTATTGGCATTTTGAGGAAGAAAGATGTCACTGCTGCTTGTTGGCTTTAGAGCAAGGTGAAACATAGAGAACTCTCCTATTTTCTCTGAAGAGTGAGCTTTTGCCTAAGATTCTGTAGCCCATAAAACTGGCATCTCATCTGAAAAGAGATCCCTGAAGACACAAGAATTACCAGCTAATGTCTTTGTTTTGGATGGTATGTGCATTGAGTGCACACTTTCAGTAACTGATGCATGTGATCTTCAAGGAAATTCCAGGTGTTGAGAGTAAAGTTTGAAACTGCTTAAGGATGAAAGCATTCAGCACTTCATAGGAATAATGGATTGATTTTTTGAAAATAAGCCATCACTCATTAAATCAATAAATGTGGTAAGAACAGGTTTCAGCGTTATGAGTACCTCAGCATAAGGCATTGTGTTGTGTAGCAAGACTCTGACTGATGTATGCTATCATCAGCTTAGAGGGAGGCTGCAACACGGTTGGTTGTGTTGCAGGTTGTGTTGTTTCACAGTTTTATTGATGAAATTTTCTTCTTGCAGTGTGTTTTGGTTTTTGGAATGAAGATACTTTTAGTATTAGGTTAGACAACTGGCTATATAGTACTTAGTGCAGCTACAAAGTTTGTGCATATATAATACAATTATCCTGATACAGAGCATGATATAACAGCAAAGTCTGTTTTGACTAAATTTTATAAAGCCTGTTGGAAAAAGGTAATTTTTGGAACTCAGTTCAGTGAGAAGTCCTAACTCTCCTAGACTGTCTAGTTTCCTTACATTGATTCTTGATAGGTCTGAATTTAACTGGTGTAGAAAACACTAACCTTCTGTGCATTTTGTGTTGATCTGTTTCTCCACCAGAATGGATTAGTTTTATTTCTGAATATCAAGAGTTTGTAATGAAATCTACTAACGCAGCATTTCTAGAAGGTGTCAGAAATTAATCGCTGCTATTTGGAGACAAGGAAAGGACCATCAGAAGTTTTTTGGAGAGGTACTCATAAATGAACAGAAGCTAGTGGAAATCTGTAGTTTGGATTTGACAGATGTATAATTAAATTACATACCTCTTTATAACGGAGCAAATATGAAACTGAAATGCAGACAATACCATAGTAGTGTTATGTCATAATTAATTTGTTGTCCAGCAGATGCAAATTTATACATACAGGATTATAAGGATCTCATGTGTGAGCTTTAACCATTGAGACATATTAAGTGATTTAACAACAACGACAACAAAAAAAATCCCCAAAACAACAAAACCCCTCCCTTTTTATGGACAGTTTTTCAGGAAGCATTCCTGATTCTTCTGCTTGCAACTTTTCAGAAACCAGAGGGTAGGTAGATTTTTGCAGCAAGATAGGTCCAGATGTTTAAGTGACCTCAAATTTTTCAGCTCAGCTGTTTCTATGAATGGTGTGGGCAGTTTTCATCTGAACAGAAGAATTGCATTATGTAATGCTGAAGAGTATTTCCTAACGTGTGGTTTGTTTTATATATATCAGGAGGAGAAGATGATAATTCTTTCATTACAAATTTTCAGTCTTCCTTTCTGAAGTGTTTAATTGCTTTGCTGTTCATTTGCATAATAGAGGGATCCTTAGAGAAAAGGACTAGGTATTGAGATGAAGAGCAACAGGCCTAATCATATTTAAATAGAGCTAGCATATCCTGCCGTATTGAGAGCACAAACTAGAATTCCTATCAGTTGATAATTAGTTCCATGTCTGACAAAATATATTTTTGATTGCAAGTAGTTGAAATTGCCAGGTGCTGTTTTCCTAAATTCATTTTTAGAACTAAGAATTTAATAGTTTAATGTTTACCCCTTCATTTTGGATATTCTTCTCCTCGCCCAACTCCCAGAAGGATGAAATAGCAGAGGGAGTGAGCAGGAAAAAAGGTTTGAAGTTAAAAAAAAAATCCAGAAAGACAGGGAAAAAAGTGCTCAGCAGGTAGGAATATGAGAGTTATTTGGTAGCATCGACCTATTCCTTAATTGGCTAGTGAGTATTTTGTTAACTTGTTCAGATTCATAACAGAAAACTGCTGTTTTTCTAGCTATTGAATGGTACAAGACGTTAGGGCATGGTCAAGACAAATCTCAGCAGAGAATGGAGAAGCTATTGAGATGAGAGCTAACATGGTTGCCTAATGTTGGGCAACAAGAAAAGTGGTCAAAATGTATCAATATGTTTTGATCTTTAAGCGAGTTTTAATATATGACTGAAACCACAGTTTGACTGAAAAAAACCCAGAGACTGATGAAGAGCTTTTTTTAGGAATACCAGTGCTGTGCATGTTCTGGGAAGTTTGTAAAAGGATTGTCAGGATTCAAATGCTTTGAATTATAGAAATCGAAACACAAAAAGAGAAGAGATATAAGAGCTCTTGTATAAGTGATGGGAAGATACGTTATGTCAACAGAAACCTGAATTTCCCGATTAGTGTAAATAATTTTTCTTCTAAATTTCTGCTATAAAAAGGGATCTGATTTCCAAACTGGAGTATGGGGAGCTGTCCAGCATGAGTGCCCTTCCCCAGTCATCCGTGGTAGGAAAAACTAGGCATTTCTTTTTTCCAAGTAAGCCAGGGAAGTTTTAATCGTCTTCAGAATGTTCTTTGCCCGTGGTTCAAACAATAGACAGCTAGTTAAATACTCTTGGACAAATAAAAGCTTTTTTTCTGACATTTGTCACCTAACCTGATTAGAAGTTGTTGGTTGAGTTTGTTCAAATTAATTCTGTGTCACACAGGACTTAAAAGTAGTCTCACACATCTCATTATGGAAACTTATTTTTATTTAAATAATATTTGTGCATTTAAAAGTTAGCCAGATGAGAAGCCATCGAGGCTGCATCCAAGAACATATATGGTACTTCTTTAATTGAACTCTCTTGTGTTGCTCCATGTGTGAAATTTAATGGGAAGTATTCAAAAAACCAATTTATTTTTTCCAAAAATTTTGTAGACTGCTGTAAACTTCACTTTTAAAAATGACAACTTGTTTTAGAAGGGCTTCTCTCTACAAATAATATTACTTGCTTCATATCAAGGTGAAACTAAAGGCCAAATTATGAGAGTTTGTCATTAATCTGTCAATAATTTAAAAACTTGGATAATTTATTTCAAAAGATCATTAAGGAACTGCACCTAAGTGGTAGCAAGGTAGGAAAAGTCAGAATTGTCTGTTTTCTTCTGCTATGCCTTTTCATTGTTATAAATGTACCATTATGTGTGTGTGTGGTTTTTTTTTAGTCTTAGTAGCAGGATTTTGAACCAATTACCTTCAGAGATTTTCCTCATGAGTTAAAGGCATAGTAGGTAAACAAGAGCCAATGTCTTTGTAGATTAGCATTTAGAAGGCATCATAATACATGCCAGTGGTTTAAGTAATTATTGTGTGTAAGGCAGATGAGCAATTAAACTTGAGGATTCCTATGTTCCAATTCCTAAAAAACCCCCTAAAGTAGTGACTATAGAGCATGGCCCAACACATATTTTTATATCTTCATCAAAAGTAGTTCGATAGAGTGGATGAGTTGTGTCTCTGGTATGTTAAGAAGCTGGATTCTATTTACAATTTTGCCTGCAGAGACTTTGATGGTGTCTGTTACAATTACTTGTAAAGTGGATGAATAAAATTTATGTTCACTTTAGTAGCATTATCAAGGG